ACCATACCCTCTCAACTACGAGGTCGGCACCCTGTTCGAGATCTTACAAGGGTGGCTCCCAATAGGGATACAGTCTTAAACACAATAAAGTAAGGCCACTTGTCGACAAATGATTGCCGATGGGACATCCCAGACTAGTCTGCGGGACTAGGACGTCTAGTTCAGTCAGAAAACGTGTCCGCATTAAATGCAGCTCACGTCCGCATTAAATGCGTGGCAGGTAATGATTGGAAAACCCAGAAATCACTCCCAAATCGATCAGAGAAGCGCCGGTCTGTCCCGCCGAACTACTGTACGACAAGACCGGTGAATAGTACCTGAACAGTACCGCATTAAGGACCACTATAAATAGTGAACCCCTCATTTATTTTTGGGTTGTTGAACCTCAACTGAAAAAGCTTTTTCTATAATTTCTCTCTCTAGACTTGTAAGAAACTCGTGTAAGAAACGGTAAGTACATCGCAAGTGCCGACCTCGTACGAGGGGCCGACCTCGCGATCTCTTAATAAAATCGTAATTAAACCATAATTCTTTGTCTCTTTCTCATTATCCTTTTATTATTCATCTTTTTAACCGTTAACCGGAAACGTCCGTCAACAATTAGTAACTAAGAAAATAAACAACTGATTAGGAATAATATGTAATTTTCAAGAAAAAACGTTAATGGAATCAGGAGACATACCTATGGTAGTTTGTTATAGAATTTCATACGCATTAAGTAATAGCAGTTTGAGTATGCATTATCAAAATCAGGATAGAATATACACGGAAAAATATTTAATGAAACAAGTACAATTATAAAAAATGATAGTATTCAAAAAGATTTTTTAAGACAACATAGCATGAGAATGATTAGTAAAGCACCGTTGACATTAGGAAGACACTCATATAGTAATGATTTGGTTGAAAGAAAAGAAATAAAAAAATCATTCAGTATTAAAAATATACATGAAGAAGAAAATGAAATTAAAGTGTTAAACAAACAAGTAAATGACTTAAGTAATTTAGTAATAAGTCTAAATAAAAGAATTTAAATGGAATCATCCAATACCCCAGGATATATAAGAGGACCTTATAAAACCTACAAGAAGAAATATCATGCGAAAAGAGAAACTAGTTTACAAGAATTAAAATCATTGTTAGTCGATTTACAAGAGTTTAGAAATAAAATGAATATGACTATAGTCAATATAAATCAAAGATTTTAGAAAATATTCAAGGACTATTAGATTGTTTACGAAAAGCAGAAAGAAGACAAAAAGAAAATCCTAGTTAGAATTAGTGTTAGAAAAATTATCAAAAATAGAATCTAGAATTTCAAAATTAGAAGAAAAAACAGACAAAAATACGACCAGCTTTCTAACTGAATTTATGAATACCTAATCTACAAACAAAAAAAAATCATGCCTGCAATTCCTTGGAGTACTATTCTTCAAAAAACTTTAGAAAATCTGTTAGAAAAACAGAGTTTTGAAAGACTTTCGGAACAAGAAAGTATACAACTTTCTTCCAACATAAATTGAATGAAATATGCTCTTGAAATTGAAAATTTTGGAGCTCAAGAAGCGGAAATAAGATATTTCAAGATCTGTATCAATTTAGCAGAAGAATTTCTTAGTAAGTAATAGAAGAATTTAATCTTAGAAAAAACAAAACTTTTCCAAAATAGGATTATTCCTCCTGATGAAATACGTAATTAAGTCTATGACTTTAGGCCACAAAATTTGGTATCAGAGCTAGATAATGAGTACAACAAGAATTCAAAAAGATCAAAAATCTGAATTATATACAATAAAAATAAAAGAAATAAAAATTATAGATTATTTAATTGAAAAAACAATCCAATATAAATATATTGAGAAAGATGAACAAAAACTAAAACAATTAGATTACAAAATTCAAAGTTTTAAACAAAAACAAAGACATATGAAAATAGGACCACCTAAAACAATAATATGAGTTTACGAAAAATTTATCTAGATTTAGAAAAAGAAATAAAAATAATTAAAACAAGAATAAATTTATTAGCACAATTAGATGAAATACATGATCATACGTGATATTATTTTAGAATAAAAAAACAAATAGAATTAATGAATAAATTAATAGAAATACAAAAACAAATAACTATTGTTTAAAATAAACAATAAGGATGATAAAATTACACATTATTGTAAATAGTAAAAGAAGAATTGCTACCCACACCCAAGTGAGGGCAGTACCAATACATGTAAGATAGAATCAACCCTGCATGTCTGCCATTTGTGTCTATTTATTGACTATAAGTGACTAAAATAAAAAATTAATTTGGAGCCTTATGCAACATTTGCATTTTCCACCATAAGTGTGGAAGCATATTTATTAATAACTCCTACAGTGCCCAAATCTATTTCAATACAACTGTATCTCCCTAATTTTTATTAAAAAGCTTGTTTAATAAGTCAAAATTAGTTACAAAGAACTACATTTTCCTAAAAAAATGAAATAAAAAACAAATTGTATGCTTCTACACAATCATATCGTATCTTATGGGATGTGGTAAATGCTTGTTTTACAAAGTGATATATTTCATTCTGAAAGTATGTAATTTTGTGTAAGTAAAATAAATTGAAAAAACCTGAGTAATTGTGTTTGCAAAAACTATGTGCATGTACATATATTGGAACGAAAAGTATGTTTATTTAAAATAGTGTATGACAACATGCTTTTATTGGTGATAGTAATTAAAATATGTTCAAGGATGAAATATTTGTATGAGTTGTGAAACTAATAAATTGGATGGTTTGGCATAATGCCATATCATTTTTTATGGGGTAGTTTATATATATATAAAAAAAAAAAATAACTGGACAAAAATTAAAAAAAAAAAAAAATTGTGAACAAAAATAAAAAGTACGTATTCTCATAATACATTTTTTTAATTAAAATTTTTTAAAAAAACGTATTTTGGTAATACGTTTAAAATTAAATTTGTAAAATGTTATTTTTTTAAACAATTGAAAAAACAGTATAAAACGTATTCCAATAATAAGTTCTGTTTTTCCTATACGTAGCTAACGAATCTCTCTATTCAATGATGCTTGCATGGCCAAATTATTCTTGAAATCATATCCTCCAAAGCTCTTGACCGATACATTAAACGTGTTTCGCGCAACTCTGCCTTTTGGGCTCGTTCGGACTCGTCCAAGCTCGAAATTGATTTCCGCTTCTTCCTATATGTCCCCAATGAACCCTTCTACAAAACCATGATTTCTTGGTCAATTTTCGGGCTAAATCTATTTCTCACGGGATAAATAATTAACAAATCACCCATTATATAAATAGATGGTCCATTGAGGATTTGTTTATAGGTGATTTGTTAATTATTTAGCCCCGTGAGGAATATATTTAACCAAAAATTGATTGGGAAATCATGGTTGTGTAGACGGATTCGTTGGCGACATATAGGAAGAAACGAAACTCAACATAGAGCTTGGACGAGTCCGAACGGGCCCAAAAAATAAAGTCGCGCGAAAAACATTTAATGTGTAGGTCCAGAGCTTTAGGAAAATATTATTTCAAGAATAATTTGGTCATGCATGCATCACTGAATAGAGGGTTTCGTTAGCTACGTAGAGGAAAAAACGTAATTCAATTCCGAGCTTAGACGAGTCCGAACGGGCGTTGTTGTCGTTCGCGGTCACGGCGTCTTCTACCTCCATCAATGTTGGCAGCGGGTTGATGTCTCGCTCTGTGTGACTGTGTACTCTAGGATGGGACGTTGTCCTCCTCGGATATAACTTGACTGAACGATGCCCTTTATGTGACTTCTTGGCTTCCAATAGTCAGAGAACTATAGGCAATGAGGAATAGATTTAGCCCGAAAATGACCGGACAATCATGGTTGTGTAGATAGGTTCGTTGGCGACATATAGGAGAAGCGGAAATCAATTTCGAGCTTTGACGAGTCCGAACGGGCCCAAAAAGGAAAGTCGCGTGAAACACGTGTAATGTGTAGGTCAAGAGTTTTGGGAGAATATAATTTCAATAATAATTTGGTCATGCATGCATCATTAAATAAAGGGTTCGTTAGCTACGTATAGGGAAAAACGGAACTCAATTCCGAGTTCAGACGAGGCCAAACGAGCCCAAAACACAAAACACATACTATATATTAATTTTTAAAAATACGTTTTACAAACAATTAAAAATTAAAATGTATTTTGATAATACGTTTTAGTTTTTTAATTATTTATTTAGTGCTTAATTATTTATAAAACGTATAATCAAAATATGTTTTATTTATTAATTTTTTTCAAAACTTATTATGTGTATACGTTTTATTCTAATTTAATAGTAAGAATACGTTTTACTCTTTAAAACGTATTCTCAGAATACACTATTTTTATTTTTGTCTACATTTTTTTTTGTTTTTGTTTTTGTCCACTTAATTCTTTTATTTTTGTTTAAATAAATAAATCATTTTTTATGTGCTAAATGCTTGCTTTATAGAGTAATAGATTTTGCACGAAAATATGTATTTTTGTTCAACAAGTAGAATATTAAATTTGAGAAAATATGGGTAGTGTTCTTTGAGAAAACTATATGCATTATTTTGTTCTAATAAGTGGAATACTCCATTTGAAAAATATGACTAATGTTGTTTGTGGGAATTATATGCATTTAATACGGATGACACATAAATCAGTACATAAAATATGTTGTAATACAACATATATATATATATAGTTATTTCGTCATACATTTTAAATAATAATATACATATAGTTCTACTATAAAATGAAATATTTTAATTCGTGATTTTTTTTGAAGTTGATATTTAATTTAAGTATGAAATTATGAATATTTATTTTCTAACATACGTCAATGTGAAATTACATTTGCTGATAAAGTATGAATAATCCTCCCAAAACACATAAGTAGAGATATCTATCATTACTATTTGGCACTAATAATTAAAATGCAATCCCTTCACATTATTGTTGAACAATTATACAAATTCATAATTTGGTGACTAGCATTAACCTCCTATCAAATAATCCAAGCATTAAAATATCTTATTGTGCCGATGAGGAAGAATTCCCAAAGTAAAGAAAAAAGAAAAAAATCTCTTATGTAGTTATGTGCCCTTTTTTGTTCCCTTGGGACAAAACATGACAAAACCAAAACCAAAACTAAAACTAAAACTCCGTCTCACAAAAACAATGCCTCCGCTTACCTCACTCTACCTTGTCTGTGCTCTTCTCCTCTCTCTACACCTCGCCGCCATTCTCACTCTCACCCGAAACTCCACCACCTCCGCCGCCACGTCAGCACCGACCACCGCCAACACAACAACGGCAACAATAATTTCAGACCCTATTTTACTACCTCCTAGCAAACCACTCACAAGACCCACAATCAAGAACCGTACAACCGGCCCGCTGCCGCCGGCGACCCAATTCCCGGCCGAAGGCGACGGCGACGACGCGGCGCTCCTCCGGCTCGCTTCCCGGGCCGACTCGATTTCGGACCCGAAACCCGGCTGGAAGCTCGCCTTCATGTTCCTAACCACGGGCCCCTTACCATTCGCGCCCCTCTGGGAGTTGTACTTCGCACGCGCCCCCAAGAGCGCGTACAACATCTACGTCCACGCCGACCCCGGCGGCAATTACTCGACGCCGTTCTCCGGCGTGTTCTCCGGCCGTGTCGTCCCCTCCAAGCCCACGCGCCGCCGCACCCCCACCCTCGCCGCGGCTGCTCGCAGGCTGCTCGCCCACGCGCTCCTCCACGACGGGGCCAACTCCATGTTCGTCCTCCTCTCGCCGTCCTGCGTTCCCCTGCACTCGTTCCGGTTCACGCGCCGGGTCCTGCGGAAATCGGGCAGGAGCTTTGTGGAGATACTAGACGAGGAGCCCGGCGCGTACGAGAGGTGGGCGGCGCGTGGAGAGGAAACGATGCTTCCCGAGGTGGAGTTCGAGGACTTTCGGATCGGGTCGCAGTTCTGGGCCCTGACCCGGAATCACGCGCGGGTCGTCGTGGGGGATACTCGCCTGTGGCCAAAGTTCCGGCGGCCGTGCCTGGACGACAACATCTACATTTGTTACACGGAGGAGCATTATTTCCCTACGCTGCTGAGTATGGTGGACCCCCGGGGGTGCGTGCCCTGCACGCTCACGCACGTGGACTGGAGCTACAATTACCACGGCCACCCACGGACGTATAATGCGAGTGAAGTGGGCCGGGAGCTGATATTGGGCCTGAGGAGGATGAGGCCCAGATACGGTGACGAGGAGTTTGAGGGGCCCGATCCCTCGTCTGTGAGCGTCTCAGCCGTCGAAGAAGATGGGCCTGGGTTCAGACCCGGTGACCGGAAATCGGACCGCTTGGACTCGCCGGCTCGTGTGAGGAGGAGGAGAAGGAAGCGACCCCACCCGTTTTTGTTCGCCAGAAAATTCTCACCGGAGTCGCTCGACCCGTTGATGAGTATAGCTGACGACGTCATATTCAGAGATTGAAGATGAATATTTTACTTTTTTTTTTTTT